TGATAAAAGTTCATAAATTTTAATGTTGAATCAGTTATTTAGAATTACTTTTTTTAATTGATAAAAGTTCATAAATTGTTTAATACATTATATAGTTTGATATATAATAATTGTAATTATTAACTTAACTGTAAAATAATTATAGTATAATAACAATATTATAATATGCAAATCAATACATAATGTTGATAATATATAAAAAATGGAAATGAAATGTTTTGTTTTCTTTGTAAAAATAATGAGCAAATTACCTGGGAAACTAGAGAAACGAGAGCGCCCTCGTGGGGTTGTAGTTGGAGATGAGTCACAGGATGAATTTATACCTATGATAACCAGATTTAAAAAATCAAGATATATTAGTTTCACTTTACAACAAAAACATAATATAGAACTGTAAACGACATTACCATTTTGTAGCCAGCATTGTCATTATGACACTTGGCTACAGATATAATCAAGCCATCAATCAATCAATCAATCAATCAATGACTAAATAAATAATATTTAATAATTCTAAACCTAAAAAGCAAAAAAAAAAAAATAAATAAATAAATAAATAAAAAACAACTTCATTGCACATACACTACATAACAAGGAACAACAGTGTAAATAGTGAGGTCAACACATAAGCAGCATTCAAATTAGATGCATGAGGTTAATAAATCAGAAATATGAATGTGAATAATATAAAATTTTAATATTAAACTCTTCACTTTTGGTTAGTTATTATTATTTATTATTGATTTTGAACTTAATAACATAACAAATAACAGAAAACTTCTCATAACATATATACAAAAATAAAAATAATGATAAAGAGGCCAGATCAGTTGCCACAGACCATGGAGGTATTATAGTACCTATAACTATAATATCTTTATGCACATACAAAAAAAATCTTATAGTATTTCCAGTCGTATGGTGTCACAATGACGCCCTCTTTGACCATACTTTATAGCGAGGGGCGCTGGACTACGCCCTGTATAGCTTTCATGATAATTTTTTAATAGCTATGCTGCCCTCTATAGGATTTTTTGAGAGTGATGTAGGAGTAATTCTATAGAGGGCCTCCTGTATTCAGATCAAATAAAATGCCTGCGCCCAGTCAAAACCTGACATTTAGTGTAAATGATGTAATTTCTCAGGTTTGGTACAGCCTCAGGCAATGGTAATGGGGCAGACTGGAAAGGGTTAAGACCTAATACATATTTTTCCATGATTCTAAGCTTTATGTCTCAATTCTGTCAAATCGTAAGAAGATTGCAGCTTAAGATTTCTTAAAGTTGCATATCTTTCTGTAGACTAATTTGAGTTTGGATGCCATTGATTGCACAGTGTATGGATATAAATTTGAGTTAATAGCACATTGAAGAGCTTATATGTATATATAACAAATATGAAGTAAATGATAGTTATGATAGTCCATTCAGAAATGAAACTTTACATTTAATTAACAACAAAGGTCAAAATCAGTTCATGTCATACTGAAGTTTTATCAAAAAGATTTAGTTTTACTGTACTTTTAAATTATTTTTTTTTTAAATGTCAATTATTAAATTTCAATTAAGGTAATAATAAAGAGTATGCAACATTAAATAACAATAATATGCTTTTTACCTAAAAGATGCTTAAAAACCTTGTTTTTGTAAAAGTAGATTATTATTTTAGTATTATTTTTATTTTTACTAATATTAATCATTATTAAATAGCTATAGAAACTATTCAAACATTTTTTAATAGTAAGTTGCATATTAGGAGAAAACAAAGTCATACAAATGAGGGCGCTTCATCATCTGAATTCGGCTTGCTTCAGATAATCAATAATTATGCAACGATTACTGTATTTCCCATATAAAACAGCCTAGGGTCAGAGGTTAATGTAAGATGAATATTCATGACAGAAGCCAATCAGAACTCATGTACTCATATTTATAAATTTAACACAAATTACATTATGCACACTAATCAAATCACATATTGTGGATACATGGATGGTTGAACACATAAATACATAATTAGTAAGCATGACCTAAACATTGTCAATAGCTATAAAAAGGCAGGCATTAGCCAAGATCATCAGATAAATATCTGTCAGACCCAAATGTTTGATCAGATAAGCATGCTTTGTAAATGGATAATATATAGAAAATGTTGTCTTATCTGATCCAGTTTGACATGCAACACTTTTTTCCTTATTTACCTTTGAATATTTGTTTTGCTATCTTCACTGATGGCATGTAGTAGTGAACAACAAGCAGACAGATAGAATGAAAGTTAAAACTGTACATGTATCCCTCAATTTTATATGAAAAACATTAAAGTCTATCAAATACTTACTTTGTAAAGCCTTCAAAATTATACAACAAATTGTAAGATAACTAGAATTATTCTATTTATGTTTTGTAGTAAAGCGTAGCTTCCGTCTTACTTATGAATACATAGTATATCATTTATATTTATTACGTAAATGAGAAATTAGCATCAACATTTTAATAGGCTTTGTCTTAATATTGTCATTTTGCAATGATCCAGTTTATGCGTATAGAATTTTTTGGTGCGAAACTTACCAAGGATTTCCCATAAAATTACCCATCAAAGTTTGAAAAACTAATTTCAGTGGGGTCCTTATGGAAATAAATTGACCTGCTCTCATAGAAGTTGAAATTTGCATTATTCGTTCACAGATTACATAACTCAGTATTCATTTTTCCATTTTCAAATGTGTTCTTAATAATCTACAAAACTTACCAGCTACAAATGATGTTGAAGTGCGCTTTTTAGGTGGACCTCTTTGAATTTGGCGGGCACGGCTTCCAAACCCTAGACATTGGAGACTCTCAGTGATGTAGCGCTGTGCGGGGGATACACAGCACATCACAAGAAGTTTGGCATCACCACCTAAAAATGGGAGAAAGTGAACATATTTTAATGTTTTCATTTCTATTACATCATTACATAGTAAGTACTTCTAAAATTATATTACACTATATTTACCAAGTGTAACCTGCCCAGGAAAATTGATCATAAAAAGACATGATTAATAAAAATAGTATCTCAAATGCATATGGTGTCAATAACCCAACTAGATAAAAAGCTGCAACATTCCAGTATGTAAACTTAACCACTGGAAATATATAGGTCTTAAACTTTGATATAATGAAGTTGCAATAGATAAGCTGTTAGGATACTTGTCTATCATCAGTGGCGTATCTTAGGGGTGCAGAGAGGGGAACACACCGCCCACAAAAGCTTTCTTCCCTAGTCTCCCCACATTGAAAATGTCCGAATCAAACAAAATCATGCTCAAGTACTTTAAAATCACCTTAGTTTGTGACATTTTCAGCCCCCCATACTTACCTATTGTATCCTGAAGCATGTGGGTTAGTTTACTATTCCTATACGGTATGTGTGATCTTTCTTCGGCAAGTGCTGCCAGAACATCGGCGAGGGCGGACAGGCTTCTATTAATAAATGAAGTCTCTCTAAGCGCAGCCCCTGTGACCCCTGACATGCCGACACACTCACTACCTGCAAGGTCCACCAACTGAAGTTTAGTTTTTACAATGCCTGTCATGTCTGGAGGAGGAGTAGATCGCGAGGGGGAAGGAGATCGTGATCGGATCTTCAGACTGGGAATGCGACGTCTGTATGGAGGAGGGGTCATTGTACCTGCATTAAAAACAGAAAAAAAAGAAATAATCGAAAATATGCGAAGTATATGAATGCTGTTGGGATAATTTTGAACTTTTAGGAACCATTGGATCCCTTCAGACCATCTTAAAGTACCTGCAGTTGATCTTGGAAGAGGGGAGTGGCACCGAGAAGATTTACTACTGGAGCTTGTTGATCCAGATGAAGTTGATATGGAAGTAATAGTCAGCGTTACTATAAGGTGAGAACGACTGGAATGCGCATGCACTAATGTTGCATCTTCGTGTCGATGGAGCATCCCATAATGTACTAAGTCAACAACTTCTGATGCATTCTGCACCATCCTGTGAATAGTAGTATTCAAATAGTGAATGTTAATAAGTGCAATGGGATAAAGTAACTCTATGAGGTGGAAGAAGGTACAGTATGTTCTGGGTATAGTAAGACAGGCATACTGGAGATGAACAGTCCAGCCCAAGCCAAATCCTAGCTGTAGCTGTCCTTGTGTTAAAATCTAGCAATGAATTTTGATCGAGGAATGCCATTCTCTCTCAAATTTACCTGAAATGAATTTTGATATAAATGTTTTGGTATTGTCAGATACCTTTGAGTTAGGGATGGAACTTCACATGACCCGTCGTCTGCCATGGTTACTGTGTGCTTCAATGACCTGCCGGAGTTGCCATGGAGGAGGTCACGAATTTCATTGTTGTATATTTCAGCTACTGACATTTCAACACGATGGAAATCATGGGTTCTCTCATTTACCAATCTGTAATGAATATTAAACAGAAAAGTAAATTGCTACGTATGGTCAATGGATCAGTTAATGGATCAGATATTTGAGATATAAATACCACATTGGATTGGATTGAATTTATTTGGTGTAAACACTAAGGATAGCCCACGAAAGTCTAGAAGAAGACTTATTTCCAGTAGGGTCCTTCTGGTGGTGATTGGGGAATACACCTGGAGACAATCCCCTACTCTTTTCCGAAAAGTGGACTGCGTTCATTTATGTGCACATGGGCCATAAATGCAAATGGGACCAACAGCTCAAACGTCTCATCTGAAAGATGGTGCGCAATTGTAACTTGTATTTCAGTCCTCCAGCTGAAACACAAGGAGAGGCAGCAACGGGAATTGAACCAGGGACCTAGAGATCTCCATGGTTCAGCACACACACAATGGCTACCACCAGATTAGTGGACTGAGCTAATTGAAGGCAACCTGATGCAAGACTGACTAATATTGGGAAAGCCTTTGCCTACATACAAGGCAACTACAAGATGTTTTTTTGTTCTCCAGTTTTTCCTGTTAAGGACAAAAAGAAAAACACAGAACAAAGAAGCACTGTGCGGAAAATAATTATTACCAGCGCATGTGGATAGTGTTCTGAAGATTGCTAGTTCAATGGGACTTTCAATCAAGACCCACCTCTTGAATATAGAAGCTATGGTATAGTGAAGATGGTCTATAACACCCAGATGCATTTTGTTTTCTACCTGAATAATTCCCTTGCAGCTCTAGGGATGACTCCTTCACTGGGGCTGGACTGGAGATTGTCATTGCATGTGGTTGGATCTGTGTAACTGTCACCAAGCATTGTATATGTTTTTCCACTACCAGTCTGGCCATATGCCATTATGCAGACATTGTACCTATGAATGATAACAACAATGACAATATTAAAATATAGTGACAATAACAAAAACAATTTACACCAACAATCAAACAACAATAAATGTAACAGTAATGATGATGATAAAAATTATGATGAAGATGGTGCTGGTGATAATGAATGTTATTATTGATGATGAGATGATGGTGATGATATAGATGATGGTGATGATAAAGAAGATAATGATCATCACCATGATAAAAAGATGATGATAATGATGATGACTATGATAAAGAAGATGATGATAATGATGACAGCGGTTTATGTTGGCAAGGACGACAGAAACAATGACTATAACACTCAAAGGTAATATTGAAAACAAACTACTGGATTAGAGAGTATGAAACAAAATCTGAATAATATGATAGAAGTTATTGTGATCCAATAAACCATAATAAATTTGTTTAAATATTTATTATTGAACAAATACACAAAGATTGATACATGTTGTCTTGTACCGCATTTTTCAGAGGTTGTTTCATAAACTATCAAACATTAAAAACATTTTTACCCATCCAATAAGGAAGTTAACAATGGTTGAACCTCCTCAAAGACAACTTTTTGGTCTTCCACTGGTGAATAAACTCTGAAAAAATGAAAAAAAGTATAAAGACTATAAGACTATATAAAAAAATTCAGCGGTAAAGCAATTAAAATAAAATATGTGTATGAGCTTGGAGAATGACAGATGTGAGGTCATAAGTGATTGAAATACGGCCTCATGTCTGTCATGCTTCTGAGCTACCACACTCATATTTTATTTGCAAATAATCAGTGGATCCTTTGGTATAGAACATTGCATCGAAAGGATTGTAAAAACATATAAAAACTGCATACACAAAAAAATTACAGGTAAATAAAAAAGTCCTAAATGATAAAGATTAATATAAATTGTAATTAAATTTTGTATTTATTTAGATATATACAAACACATAAACTAATCCATTCTTATATCATCCACAATAAAGGTACATTTCACAATTCGTATAAGACCCTACTACAACCTACAAATGAAAACGATGGATATTTTACATCTGTCAGCAAAACAATAGCAAATGTAAATTGAGCAATTCATATAGTGTAAATGCTCTGCATGCCTTTTTATGGAGGCAAGTGCTTGCCTTAATCAAGAGAGCTTAGTAGAGGGCAGCACATATTGAAATTATTAGATGTGGTTAAGTGGAATGTATTTGCAAGTGGTGTTTATTCAAGAGCGATATTAATCAAGAGAGGGGCACTTCTTACATATTTTACAGTATATTTGTCAGCAGTGTCCAGCGTACATACCTTTCAAATTCAAAATTCTTTGGAGTTGTCTGTTGCCAAGCTTTGTTTGCCTTCACACTAAGATTTTCCTAAAGGAAAGAAAAAATGCACAGTAACAAATTAGAAGTCTGGGCCACTTAAGTTTTATTGTGTTTACTACAGGTATATAGTATGTATACTATATGTATGTATGCAGTATGCATCATTCACAATTTGGTGGGGAAGGGGAAGGGGACCCCCTGCCACAATAGAAGAAAAAAATCATTTTTGGGTTTTAAAGTGTGCAATTTGGTGCATACCTCTAAATACAATTTTACTTGCAGAAATCTTATATAAGAGTAATACAAACTCCAAGAAATTATGGGATACATGACATTATGTTTGATTCAATAATATATGACATTATTTAATATTTCATCTTCAGAAATAAATGAAATTGTTAAGCAATGGGAAAGAGTCAACCTTATTCCTGTGAAGTTGATGAGTGGGCTTTGTTATAAGCGCAGATGGCCTTTTTTTTGCAGATTTTAATACATTTTACGTAGCTTAAATGCATCAGCTGGCTCCTCCTGTGCCAATTTGATGGTCAGAATACTTGACAAGGTTCGTTTTGGATCCAAATTTGGACGAAAGGCAGTTTTGTTTCTCCGAACCATTAAAAAGACTCACTCCTGTTGCATACAGAAGATAGTAGAGGGCACTTCCGATCATCAATTTTCTAATGTTATAGCTTCCAGTGTTTTTATTTTGTTTTCTTTTGTCTTTTTCTTTTTTTATTTCCTCAACTACCAGCGTGAGAAAATGATTGATGAGTGGGTGAGCGCGATAAGAGGTACTGAGGCGCGATTCTCATGCCGTAGGTGCGAGAACTGGTAGGTCTGCATTTGTGGGTTTTTTTTATCATTAATGCTGTCATCTGATTTTTAAAAATCACTTAGAGTTCCACATCCAGCTATCTACAGATGCCACAGACATAACATTCTGTACCTTAGCATGAACTATAGTTGGGCTGAGGAAGTCTACACTCTCCATCTGTAAAATTCCCTCCCTAGGCCCTCTATATTTCAAATTCCTGGATGTGTGTCAGTTACAACATAGAGAAAACAGAACACTATATTCTATTTTCTCTATGGTTGCAAGAAGTAACTTACATCATCAATAACCATTATCACTTCTTCAGATGGTGTTCCAGCTTGACCTAGATTACTGGGATCAAGTTTACCCGAGTCAAAGTTCAGGAGGGGTCGTGTACGACAATGTACCCTGATATTGCCTCTGAGCTCCTAAAAGATAATAAACCAATAATAGTTATAAAAGCTTTTTACTACATTTTTCACATCACAAGCACTATGAAAAAAAAATTAGAGGACAAAATTGGGAAAATTTATGGAAGTGGTGCTATAACACACCAAAGTATAACCCCACGAAAGTAGAGATACATACTTTAAGGAGGGTATAGTAATTTGGTGGTACAGTTGAACTTGCCTAAGTCGAATCCAAAATGCCATTGAAAAATTGTTCGACTTCGATCAAAATTGACTTACAGATTGTTAATTAATGGGAAACACAACAATTTGGCATGTAAAATAAGTTTGACTTAGAAATTATTCGAGCTAGGCAAAGTCGACTTAGGCAAGTTTAACTGTACACAGAAAGACAACCCCCTAATCTCTTCCAAAGAAAGTATTGTTCTGTAATGTTCACATGAACAATGGCCTATTATATTTCATCTGATGATCTTTAAGTAGCTGTATCACTTTCCACTTACAACTAAAGTGTTGTGAAGTTCTCGTCTTCTTCTCTTTTCTTTTGCATGTCGTTCCTTCATTTCATCTAACTCTTCTTCTGTTTCGAATAACTTGTCTCTTAATTCTAAGTATTAAAAAATAAAAACATCTGTAGCTAGGTGCTGTTTATCTTCCATAAACATGATTATAGTGAGTGGAACTAGTTTGGCGGCTTGAGATGAGTGCCTTCCATACTCAGGGTCCTAATGAGTGAAGCCAGCTTGGTGCTTTACAAGATGAGTATCTTCCATATCTAGAGTCTTAGTGAGTAGAGCAGGCATGGTGGCTTATAAGAAGAGGGACTTTCATATCAAGGGTTCTAGTGAGTAGAGCTAAGAGTATAGACCTTCAAGAGGTCCAACTCTCAGCGTTTTCGTTGGAATTCAAGCTTATCTAAAACTACCACAAACTAGAGGGCGTCCTTCAAAAGTATGTAAAAGGAATTTGTATCAAACGCATGCTGCGTCTATATATGGTCTATATAGAACACATGTTCGAGTTTTGAACGTTATTCAAATTTTGATTCCCTATATATCGTGGTAGTACTTATTAAAAATTTCATTGAGTGCATACATAATCAGGGTAGTTGGACCTCTTGCAAATTCTATACTCTTTGAGTGAGTAGAGCTAGCTATGTAGTTTATAAGGGTATTGCTTTCTTACACAAGGTCCTAGTGAGTGGAGCTTTGCTTAATGGTTGTCTTCCATACCCACCATATCGTACAAAAAAGGACTAGCATTTTTTTTTATTAACTACAAAAAAATTTACTTCCTAATGCTTCATAAGGACAAGATTCCAGAGTTTACCATTGTGCTATTACACGCCTTTAAGTCATGTGTTCCAATCTGTGAGAAATTTGGGTGATATGATCTAATGCCTATTCTTGTTCACACCAAATTTATGCATAGTGATACCCATGGCCAGCTGAGATCGGAGAGACAAAAATATTGTAAAAACAAGCATGAATGTGTGGGAAATAAGTTATTTTCCAATAGATTTTCCTTTGTTCACGGGAGTGCGGGAGATCGTGCTAATTTCGGGATATTCCTGTGACACGCTGGAGGCTTGGGATTCCTGCAAGTCACTTTCTTCTTCAAATAAGAATGAAAAAAATTAAGACACAATATGCATAGCATAATCTTTACCTTGCAGGTCTAGGTTATCAGAGACCATCTGCTGGTTCAATTCTGCTGACCTCTGGACTGCCCATTGGAAGTCAGAATGCACCACTTCTGGTAAACCTTTGACACTTGATCTCAGTGTCAGAAGATCATTTTTAACATCCTTAACAATAAATGAAAGCATTAATATAAAGTCAGTGCACAACAATATTTGCATATTCTAAGCATAATAATGTTATAACCACACTCTTGACCTTATTAAATTTATTTATTGGGTATTAATATTATTTTTCATAAGCTTTAATCACATATTGATATGTTTATAAACCTTATCAGATTTCATTAGGGGTAAATTCAATTTCACTAACTTTTTTAAACACTATACATTTTTTTACATAATAAAGAGCTGGTATTTAGCATAATTAAAATACAGTTGGGCCTATTAGTGACAGGTACTGTATTATGATGTTAGCTAGTAAGAAAGTTAATAGCAAAATGTATATATATACCTTGATTTGATTTTTGAGGTGTAAAGCTAACTCTGAATTAATTTTGCAGGAGTGCTTATCAATTTCAAGTAATTCTTTGGCTAGATTAGCCTCACGATAGGAGGCTTGCACAAGTCCTTGAAGCTATAAAAAAAAAAAAAAAAAAACATTCATAAATATAGTGTTAGACTTATGGGAAAAGAAACTAGAAACAGCAAGCAGAAAAATGATATGATTGATTAAAACCCAGGGCACTTAGAATGTTGAAAACGCTAGAGTGAACAGGGGTGATCCATCTTTGTACACTCACGCTCTGTCTGGCCTGAAAGCCCTATTATAGGATAACAAAAAGGGTACTTCAGTACCTGTGTTAAGCCAATGACAACCTAAACATTGGTGCAGGATCAATGATGAGATGAGTGGGAATACTTAGGAGGGAAAGGGGATGCAATCTCCACTCAGCTTTATGTACTCACTTGTGCTAATTTGAGATGCAACATTGCATTTTCAGTTTTTAGTAAGGTAAGTTGTTCATCTTTTTCACGTAACTTCCTGTCACACTCTTTTATCTTCTCTGGCACAAAATGACTTAAGTCCATCTTAAGAGGCATGGTGACCAATAACTAAAAATATAGAACAATTTATCACATAGTATTTTGTATATTGTATTGTATATTGTCAATTATAAATTAATAGTAACATGGTTATCCCAAAAGGAACATTTGTAGCTTGTAATTACCTGAAAACATATGATTTAATGTACCATCATAAAAAAATTTAATTACCAACATGTGTAAATGGTAGTAATATTTACTATTATTTTGAGTAGGCCTAGTTGTTTGTTGTGACTGGAATGGTTGCTTTTCCTACTATATAAACTATGGATATTCTTTATATAGGCCTCAATAAGTAACATACCTTAGGGAATAAGAACTTATATATTTAATTATTCAATTGTAATGGGCTTACCAAGTTTCCTCTTTATCATGCTGCTATCAAATTATTAATTAATATTGGGCAAACAGAAAAATTCATTAGATTATCACTCCGCCCACATCAACAATTTTGGAAATATTGATGCAGGAATATTATTTTATTAATTTTTTTTTTAGAGTAATAATCTAATATTATTTTTTTCTATGTGCCCTAATACTAACTTTTGTTTTTTATTAATTGATGATATTGATGTTTATTATGGAGGGACTTTTAATAAATAAAAAACAAAACACAGTAAATCTGGGCCTAGACTACTCGCTGAATGTGGCCTCGGACTCGGTTAGGCCAACTCTCCTATCCGTTCTAATGACTGGAATGACTACAACTAGGCCTAGGCCTAAGCTAGCCTAGGTCGGACGACAGTGTATAGGCCTAGCGATAAGGCCTTTTTTTAGGCCTTTATTTTAAGCCTAACTTTAATTATCTGAAAGTGCTCTAACTTTTGGCCACATTAGATCATGCAGTAAGTGCATGTTTTTTAAAAATCATAATTACAGTAATACAGTACACCTAGGCCTAGCACCTTCTTCTCTCTGTTTTCTGTCAAAGAATTTCTGTGAACTCGTACGAAAACGGTAAACAAACAGACCTAGGGGGAGGCCTAAACAAAAAGGGTTTCTCCACTATACTACTGTGGCTTAGTAAGTTTTATTTACTATGTATAAAGATATTTTTGTTTAAATACTGTAAAAATTTTCATAATATATGGATTTTAAACATTTCGGAGACTACTTTCATTAACTAATAAAGTTTTAAATTCAGAAATACTTGTAGCTCGTGCCTTGAAAAAAGAGCAAACCTACAACAATTCAGAATGGAATAATCGTAAGCAGCAGGTCAACGATTGGGGGCGTAACATTAAATAATATTTTGCTAGCGCGAAAATCATTTTGTCTATTTTAGTAGTTTAATCGTGTTTTGTTCACTTGATGTACAAGTAATGTTAAGATATGGGGAAGAGGGATAAGTACGTGTCCCAATATATAGTTTAAATATCTTAGCAAACCATAAATAATTTTAGTATCCTAACTAGGCCTAGTAAGTTTAGGCTAGGGCTAGGCCCAGCACATAATAGGCTATTATATAGGCCTAGCTAGCCCAGGCCAGGCCTTCCTACCTAGCCAGGCTATGCCTAATGTTAGCCTAGCTTAGCTACCCTGCTAGGCCTAGCTGGTGAAGTATCAAGGGGCTAGAAGGACTGCTTCGGACGCTAATGCACTTAAGTACTTCACCTTAACCTCATCTCCAGTCTTGCTATCTTAAAAATGTTAGGGTTGAATACTAATATTAGCACCCCGTTTCGGCCTAGATATATATCATTGTATGGAATGCATTTTGTATTATTAGTTAAATACCCTACGGCATACCATAAAGGTAAAATAAATAGTTATTAATACTGATAAGTAAATTATATTATATTAAAAATGTTTGTTCACTTAAGTTTTAAACATAATTATAAAAAGACTATCTATGACTGATGAAAGCAAACAAAATTTGGTTTATCATGGAGGTATAAATACCTCCATGGTTTTAATCCATGTTAATTCGACAAACGAATCCTAGGCAAGGCATAAAACAATTGTTAAATCTCAACTTAAAATCCTTATTAGAAACTGATATGAGGGCACATAGAAAAAATTATTAGATCACTCTTTTTAAAAAAAAAATTATGAGGGAGGGCAGTTTTTGTTTTTGTTTTTAATCGGAACAATAGATTATTTCACTTTGGTTTTTATCTATGAGGGAGGGACTGATTACATTTGGTCTTTAATAGTACATATTGTATAAAGTTGGTTTAATTTTATAGTTTCTTAAAGAAATTGTATTTGAAGTCACAAAATTGCATTGTTATTTTTATGCTTTTGAAATAATTGATGTGGCATCAATATTTCCCGAATTTTTGATGCGGGCGGGAGTGATAATCTAATATATTTTTCTATTTGCCCTAATAAGCCTAGGACTAGGTCTATTTTTTTGTGTATTTTTGAATATTTTAATAAGCGGAGTAACCATCCTTTTTCCCCCTAGTTTTTGAATATTTCAAAATTCGTATCTCATTAACCTTTCCCAAGTTATTGGTTTTTGTGTCTTATGAAGATCATTTGTACAAAAAAAAAATGTTCTCCGACGAAGCCTGGCTTTAAGTAAATTTGATAAAAAATGGTTCCAAGCATTGCCAGTTTTGTATGTACAGTACACCAATAATTAATTTATTTAATGATACTCTACATTATTTTTTTCAGAAAAAGTAGACATGAGCAGAATGAAGAATCAAGTAGTGAACAAGAATCAACAACAAACTCTGAATCAGGTATTTAAAAAAAAAATAGGCCCATATATATAAAAAAAAAAAAATCTGCCTTATTTTTTGTCCATGCATTTTAATTTTAAAATTTGAAACTATAGTTTTTTTTTTACTATGGTTACTTTGCTTTGGGATTGTTACATTGGTTGTGGCCCATATCAACATGATGCTATGGTCATTAAATATGGTGCAGATACCTGTATAGTGACTTTCTAAATTATGAGTAATTAAGAATATCACTTCTGTTTACACCTTTGATATATGTTTTTCTAGATTCAGATTCTGGTATTACTCCACTGAAGCGACAGCGTTTGGACTCCACGATGAAGAAAAGATTCAAACAAGAAAAGAAAAAAGTTGCAAAGAAGGAAAAACTAAAAAAATCAAGTATGTTTAGTTTCAACGTATACTTTTCAGCTCTAGGACACATTGTGTGATTTATTTTTTAATTGTTTATTTATTGCACATCCATCACTGTAAACACCAATTACAGTATGAAAATATAAAATATAGAAACTTGCACAGAGAATCAATTAAAAGCCTGAAATTATTTAAAGTTAAAAATATAAAATTATTTAACTGAAGAAAGATAAAGGTCCAATGTATCTTTGTGAACTGCTGGCTTGGTATGTACAATTTTGTACTCTCCGCTCTGGTACTGATAAACTTCTGCTTGTTGAGCCTATGTCTACACATTTATGGGGTGATAGATCATTTGCGGTGGTGGCACCACCCCTTTGGAATAAACCACCATTTAATATTCATTTCATTTCATTTATTTCGCCAAATAGATAAAAATAAAATATAATATAAAATATACAAATATAAAATTTCAAAAATAGTAATTGTTGTCATGTGGCAGGATTGCCCAAAAATAGAAGATCTACTGTCGAGGGGCTCTCCTCATGACAACAAAAATACAATATCACAATCTATATACATAATTTTAAAAAATTATTATAAAAGTGCTCCCAAGACATCTGCTGTCTGCTGTTTTGCAGTTTTTTTTAGTTTTCCTTTAAGGTCAAATAAGTTTGAATAAGGGATTTATAAAGTGCAGATTTTGCGGTTGGAGGATATTTATAACAATCGCGCCACATCAGCCCAATTAACCTGTTGGCCTTGCCAACAACATGGTCACATGCAAATGTGATGAAGGGTCTATTCACACTATTAAGTATTCTGTGACAGATATCTGTGATGTGCCCGTATGTGGGCGTGATATGACATCATTTTATTTATTCTTTCTTTATTCTGAAATACAATGTACTGGTTTCCAAAGTGGTTCAGTTAAATACAAAAAAGTAACAATACAATAATAATAGTAACTTAACTGCAGTAAAACAACAAATTTCCATTGTAGAATGAAAGTACACATTGTACGAAGTAAAGTAGAACATATAATCAATAAAAGTATCTTGCACTACTAAATGTAAAACAAGAGTTTTCCTTTTCAATTTAGAATTACAAAAGTAATTACAAAATCAATGTAAACTTATGAACGAATCATCATGCCCATATTTGAAACTATCACAGTTATCACCAAAAAAAATTGGACAGACATGAATTAATATCATTTTCGTTGGAACTTAGAAAACTGGAAAACATTAAACTTTAGTTGAGCCCAACTATTTTATACATCATATTTTATAGTGAATTGAAGTTTGTTAGAAAATTGCAGTGCATATTATGTGGCAGGTTTAATTGTATTTTATCTTTTCAGATAAAATATCAAAAGATGATTATTACTTGAAGAGTACAGAGTTCAGGATATGGTTGAAAGAAGAGGTACGCCAGACAGCCCAAGTACTTTAGATGAGCCTGCATTCATCCTTCTATACATATTTAGAATATAAACTACAGTATATAAAATCTCCCAAGTATTACCAGTTTATGTAAATTAAATTAACTAGATTGGTTATTTTATTTGAATGAATATGTCTTTATAACATACATATAATGATATCAGTGATTATGCCTATTTTAATACTATTGATTATATATAGGCCTGTAAGTAATGTTTCGTCAAAGAAAATTTTTCTGTGTTTAGTTAAAGGGAATATTGATTGCTAAAAAGTAATATATAACACTCTAACATAATTACTGATCCCTTTCACTATTTACTGACTAATACGGCTACTTAAATACCTATAATTTAATCAGTACACCAGGATATATCTTTACCCTTTCACCATCAGAAACAGTCCCAACTTCCAAAAGTACAGATAATCCTTTTGCACATTTTGTTATAAATTATGCCAACAGATTAACATCCAATCCAGTGGTTCAACTCAATTTGTCAGTTTTGGTTAATATAGATTCCAAAAGCAAATTACTGAATTCCCACTTCATAATTTGTTCACTCATACCGTGCATTGAGCATGTTAAAGCATGGACAATAGTATAGACAAAAGCAGATTTATTCAATTTCTTCCCAATGCAAATAATTTTAGATGGATATTATTTATATTAACTATTAATTAATAAACCATTGTGTCCCAATTTAATTGTAATGAAATATATGATGAGAACTTAAATCTAAAAAAAAAGTATGCAGGGCAACCTAATAAAAAAATTGAAAATGTGCAATAATTTTGATGTACATACAAATGGAGTTAATGTTAATTTTAAGCTTACTGTTTTTTGAAATTTTATATTTTAGTGAAAAAAATTCTGACAGAATAAAAATTATGCAGGAACTGGTGTCATCTGTTTGCCTTCCAACTTGTAATGAATTATGTTATTTTGTTCTCAGCTATTTAAATTTTTTTGATTGTTTTTTTTTGTACAGAAAAGTGTTTTTTTTGATGAGTTAACCTCCTCCAAAGCTCGCTATTACTTCAAGAAATTTGTGAAGAGCTGGAACAAGGGACGATTGAAAAAGGTTAGACTTAAATATTTTATTTGTTGTAGTGCCTTTCTTTTCAGTATAGAGTGCTTTTTTCCCCAGGTCACATGCCTAGGTGTTTCTGCACAGGACACAGGAGAAGGCAACTCCACCACCCATACTCTTAAGTGCAGAGCTTTGTAGATAATGTGCCTTGCTTAAGGACAGCGAAATACACAACAGGGCAATTGAAACCCTGACTACGAGGCAAGAAAACAAAACTGTCCCCTCTGTACTAAACCGCTACAAAATACTATCCATCCTCATTGGTTTGGTTTTAGTGTAAATGATAAAATATTGATAATATTAACTCTAATAACAACTACTACAACAACCATGTTAACCAATGCAGGGCTATGATGGAAATTCGTTTTCACTGTTTGAGCATGTAACATATAAATAAAATA